TTCCATACACTTGCTTTTCTTGACGAAGTGCAAACTGGAGTGATTGAATTGGCAGGGGGACGCATACCTCTGTACTTTGTATCCAAGGATATTGTTCATGCGATGCTTGCCAATGTGGATGGAGAGACAATTGAGCCTATGCAATTAAATCTGGCCTTTGAGATGGGGAGCGCTATACCTCTCTTAATTGATCCGGAACGTATGGAGATTTGCTTTTTATTGGCCATACCATATGTAACTCCCAAAACCATTTTTCAAATGAAAACAATCTACAATGTCGGTAATTGGAAGGAAAATATCCATGTAAAAGTCCAAACCCCAGATGTTTTGGCTTTTCAACTGTGGATACCAGATTCGTATTCAATACCCATTTTGAATGACTGTGAGAAATTCAAAGACAATAATTTCCAATGTGATGGAAAACCTTTTGTGTACGATTCTACCAATGCTTTGTGTGGGATCGAGTACCTTAAACATGGCTCTGAATCATATCAAGTAACTATGTCAAAAACCGACAGTAATGCGTTAGTACATGCTATCTTAGTAAAAGATAAATGGTTGGTAAGCACGTGTCTTAAAAACATAAGTGTTTTTTTTTCGCAGGGACCAGATGACTAATAAAGTAATTGCCTTACCAGCACCTGATCAAGGTACCCCACGACTCTCGTATCACCATCGGTGACGTTACGCTATACCCAGTATACACTGACGTCATCGATAGTGCTATTGAGATGGTGGATCCCTTTCAGAATCTAGATATCCCTCTAGATCCTAATCTAAAGTTCTTGCTGGACCACAAGCCCAACCACACTATCCAAATGTCAATCAGAAAAGATAACATTTCTGTGGATACATTTAAATACTTTGAGCTAGATACTGACCTTATTGCTCATGTTGACTGGTTCATCCATGTTAAGATTGTTATTGGGTGTGCTATGATAATAATGATATTATGGTTGATTGTACTAAGTGTAAAGTTCAAAACTATTACAGGTACAAATATATACAAAAATGTTCATTCCACGCACGTTAGAAATGATGTGATTGCACAATATGTCTAGTAACTTCTATAGTGCTTATTCATAAGCTAAATTAATTTTGGCTACGAAATGCACTAAAGGGGGGTTATGTCAGAGTATTTATATCGGCAGACATCTTGTGCTATGATAGAAATTAAAAGTGTAGATGCTGAGTCACTTTTGAACAGAGCAGACTCCATTTTGTTATTTCCAAGTTAACAAAAGACACAAGATTTCTATCTGTAAAACTAACCACTTTCCCAGAGCTAAAGGAATGCATAGTACATACAAACCAAGTGATAAGGAGAACGGAGGTTGGATAGACTGTCTAAATGCTAATGGAATAGATCAATATAAACCCAGACATTTGTGACAGAGAAGATTAAATAATTTAATTTTACTTTCTAAATTTTATAAGGTACCATTGTACGGAAAAGGTTAAACTTAGTTCATGAACTGCCATTTTAGAAAATTATAGCAGGAATTGCGGACACTAAGTCTGGACAAAACCCTTTGAAGTGAAAGGAAAAGTAAGTTATGGCAGATATAAAGATAAGCCAAAATGATGTCAAAATAGCCACCAGGAAAAGTTAACTCTTTCCTGGATAGGTATGTTTAGTGGGACAAGACTGCCCTCTATAGACCAAATACTAAATGGCTATCTGGAAGGTAACCACTCCCCCAGTGTTGCTTTTGGTCTACCAATTAGTGAATTTTCCCTTTAAAAAGTTAAGACAGGAGGGTTGAGAGAAGGAAGCAGAGGAGAGGAATTGGAAGTTTGGGGACTCCAACTCGGACATGCAGAGAAACCCAGGATAACATCTGAGACTAACACTCTACTCTTAAAATTCTAACACTTAGCATTTTACTGACTTTCTAACCAACACCACCTTTCACCATAACTCATGCACCTACAGACATCCAAATAAGTTCCTGAGACTATTCACCTGATGAGAATATCTACTCAACTGGTAATTATATTTACCTATTTTTTAATGCAGGCAGAGATAAATAATTTTATTTTATATCCATTTTCTTTTCTCTTTTTTTTTATACTTTTTTTTTCAAATTTTAAATCTTTAACACGGCTAAATATTCATTGCTGTTCATTGCATAGTTGCTGGTAATCACTTTAATCCTTCAGCCGCTTTAGTGCTTTAGTCTTTAGTCTTTCAAAGGCCCCCCTCTTAAATCAGTTTCACACATTGTACCTTCATTTTGTTGATCCCTTTGGTAATATGATTCTCTGAGCGACTTTCCTCCTCTTTCCTCCTCCCTTTGCCACACTTATCTTAAACGCTGGTCCCAGGTCTCTCTCCCGGCTTCTCCCCCCTCCTTGTCCTCGATCTCCACTACTTATTATTTAGCCGTTTTAAGCAGCAGCCCGGCAGACTTTTAGAGCCCCATGTGTGGGTCGTCGCTTAGTCGTCTCACTCGAGCCGCGTTCTAGCCGCGTTGTCTACCCCTCACTCGCAGACTTTTCCTGATCCCGCCTCACGACGTCAACGTCATCACGTCATACGTCCGCTATAGACCAAATACTAAATGGCTATCTGGAAGGTAACCACTCCCCCAGTGTTGCTTTTGGTCTACCAATTAGTGAATTTTCCCTTTAAAAAGTTAAGACAGGAGGGTTGAGAGAAGGAAGCAGAGGAGAGGAATTGGAAGTTTGGGGACTCCAACTCGGACATGCAGAGAAACCCAGGATAACATCTGAGACTAACACTCTACTCTTAAAATTCTAACACTTAGAATTTTACTGACTTTCTAACCAACACCACCTTTCACCATAACTCATGCACCTACAGTCATCCAAATAAGTTCCTGAGACTATTCACCTGATGAGAATATCTACTCAACTGGTAATTATACTGGTTTCATTTAATTATTTAAATTAATTAAAATTTTCTAATAGCATGATATATGACTGGATAAATCACGGTCAGATTTCCATATTAAGAAATCTTAGTTAACTAAAGAATATATAGTTATAAACATTCCATTCTGCAGGTGGAATTAAGAATAATTATATATTGATGTGATATTATCACGTGTTAGCATACCGCTGTTTTTATCCAGGTGTATTGATTTGCTCTAATATAAGATAAGATATCTTTTTAGACAAATTAAACTCTGCTTATAAAATATGGTAGATTCTCTTATTGGATGGTTCCAGGAAATGACTAATGAACTGGTTTAAATGTTATTTTATTTAAAATTACATAAGAATAGATCTTAATTACCTAGGAGATCTAGCCAGCATTGAAAGGGTTATTCAGTTGATCTAACTGTTAGCCAGGGTTTTTCTCTCTGTGAAAGATAGTCATAAACCGTGTAAGTCTTGACAGAAAATGCTGTTTAGCCATTGAAACATTGTATTGCATTGTATACTATGTTGTACTAAATACTAATTGATTATTGTCATGCATGTTACATATTATTATTAATTAATTTGTTATTATAAAATAAAATCTATTTTTATAACATTGTGAATTTATTTATATGAAATACTTTTCACTTAACACGATAACGACCTTTGGGATCTGAGAATTGAATTAGTCGGCAATTCTCACTGTTTACTATTATTATCCCATAAATATCCCCACAATATTTAGGGGCTAATTTCATGGCCTTAGGGATTCTTGTATGTACACCTCCATAACCTTATTCTCTATTTGAGATAGTGGGTATACTCTTCCCTTGGGTGGCATAGTGCCAGGAATAAGCTTGATGGCACAATCGTAGGGTCTGTGAAGAGGAAGACGGTCCACCTCCACTTTATCAAACACTCTCTTAAGTATTGAGGTGGCACAATAGTGGATAGAAGAGGGGACGTAGGAACATTAAGAGAGCAGAGGGGTCTCACATGATTTCTGCAAGTAGGTTCACATGAGGGTCTCCAAGACAAAACCAATCGAGAATAGGGTTATGTTTTTGTAACC